CAGTCAGGTCCGAAAGTTCAGTGAATGTGCCTGCCCAGCAGGCACCATCCACCACCTCACAAGAGGTGATGGATACAAGTCCCACTCCTCCGGCGCCTCAGACGCCGAAGGATAGGCGCAACTCCTTGGAGCGCGCCAAAAAAGAAAAACCTCAAATCACAGGGCCCTCAAAAGGCCCTGTAAACTAACGCAACACCTCTGTATGCACAGCACCACACTAAATTAAAATGACACAAATACTACAGTGGAACGTCGGAGGACTGTTGAGAAACCTCGACGATATCCAGGAACTTTTACACAAACATACACCTAAGGTGCTGTGCGTACAAGAGACACACCTGAAACCGAAACACACCAACTTTTTACGTCACTACGTTATTTTTCGGAAAGACCGGAATGATGCCATTGTGCTATCCGGTGGTGTTGCCATTATAGTCAATCAAGGGATTGCATGCACACACCTAACACTACAAACATCCCTTGAGGCGGTGGCTGTTCGAGCAGTTCTATTCAATAAGCTCGTCACCATCTGCTCTCTCTACATACCTCCACAACACCGTCTTGAAGAGCATGAATTCGAGTCCCTCATAGACGAACTTCCAGAACCTTATATCCTCCTTGGAGATTTCAATGCACATAGCAATCTATGGGGTGACTCTCGCTGCGATGCTCGGGGTCGCCTGATTGAACAGCTCCTTTTTTCTTCCGGTGCGTGCCTGCTGAATCGGAAAGAGCCAACATATTACAACATCGCTAACAATACGTACTCAGCAATAGACCTCAGCATAATATCCCCATCACTCCTGCCTCTACTTAAATGGGAAGTCATTAATGATCCATATGGTAGTGACCATTTTCCTATCGTTATCAGCACATCAATAACAAATACATGTCTTGCACAAGTTCCCAAATGGCTCACCGACAAAGCTGATTGGGAAAAGTTTCAAAAAATGACTTTATTATCTTGGACTGACATGGCGGCATTGAGCATAGAGGATGCTGTATGCTACTTTACAGCTTTCCTGGTTGATGCAGCAACAAAATGTATTCCCCAAACATGTGTACCGTCAAGCAAACGACGAGTACCATGGTGGAATAATGAGTGCCGTGATGCTCGAAAAAAACAAAATAAGGCATGGAGGTTGCTTAGAGACTCGCCCACAGCCGAGAATCTTGTAAACTTTAAGAACGTCAAGTCGCAAGCAAGGAGGACGCGCCGACAGACGAGATGAGAAAGTTGGCACAAATTTGTATTGGGCATTAACTCATACACAGATGAGTCTGGAGCATGGTTGGTAAAGTGGCAGGACGAGGAGCACATTCGCTTCCTCTAGTGAACACACAAGGGGAGAGTTTGGAAGACCAGGCAAACACTCGGAGCGCACTTTGAACAGGTCTCCAGCTCAACACACTATAGTGAAGTGTTCCGACGATACAAAACCGCAATAGAAAAACAGAGATTAGAGCGCAAGCCCAGAACACATGAGGCATACAACGAACCTTTCTGTTTGGCTGAACTGCAGGCCTCACTTGCCTGCTGCAATAAATCTGCCCCAGGCCTGGACCGTGTGGCATATGAAATGTTAAAACACCTGCCCACTGAAACCCAGAAAGCTCTCCTCTCTCTGTATAATGCGATATGGTCTTCTGGCCAGCTACCCTCAGCCTGGAAGGAAGGTATCATTATCCCAATCCTAAAACAAGGCAAGGACCCGGCCTCAGTTTCCAGCTACAGGCCAATAGCATTAACCAGCTGTATTTGCAAAGTCTTTGAAAAAATGATTAACAGGTGCCTGATGCACTTCCTTGAAATTAGTGGCCTACTTAACCCATACCAGTGTGAGTTTCGAGAGGCTCGGTCCACCACTTACCACCTTGTCCGTATCGAAGCACAAATTCGTGACGCTTTTGTTCATAAGCAATTTTTTCTTTCTGTGTTCCTCGATATGGAAAAGGCATATGACACTGCATGGCGCTTCGGCATATTGCGAGACCTGTCACATTTAGGTGTGCGGGGTAGAATGCTGACAGTTATCGAAAGCTACCTGTCCAACCGTACATTCCGTGTCCAAGTTGGCACTGTCTTATCTCGAGTATTTGTCCAAGAAACAGGAGTGCCACAAGGAGGTGTATTGAGCTGCACACTTTTCATAGTTAAAATGAATTCCTTGCACCTGTCTCTCCCACGAAATATTTTTTACTGCATATATGTCGATGATGTGCAGATTGGTTACAAATCGTGCAACATCTCAATGTGCCAACGTCAAGTTCAACTAGGGTTGAACAAGGTATCTCAATGGGCAAACGAGAATGGTTTTATACTCAACGCGCAAAAGAGCACTTGTGTCTTGTTCAGCCGAAAGAAGGGCCTCCATCCTGATCCCAACATTGACCTGCATGATCAACCTCTGTCAGTGAAGACCAAGCACAAGTTTCTTGGTCTCATATTAGACACTAAGCTAACCTTCATCCCACACATCAAGTATTTAAGGGACAGGTGCTTAAAAACAATGAACATTTTGAAAGTGTTGTCACACACTACATGGGGTAGTGACAGGAAATGTTTAATTAACTTATATAAAAGCCTCGTATGCACACGCCTAGATTATGGTGCTATAATCTATCAGTCGGCAACACCATCAGCCTTGAAAATTCTCGACCCTGTCCACCATCTAGGCATTCGCCTCTCTACGGGTGCTTTCCGCACCAGCCCTGTGGAGACCCTGTACGTGGATTCGAATGAATGGTCACTCCACCTACAAAGATGTTCCTTGTCCTTTTTGTACTTTTTGAAGGTGAAGGCAGACAAGAAACATCCTTCCCATTTCACAATTAATGATTTGTCTTGTTCTGGCTTGTTCGAGAACCGTCCTTCGTTTAGGCAGCCCTACGCGCTGCGTGTAAGGAGCCTGGCCGAAGAAACAGGTGTGCCTCTTCTTGAACCCAGTTTGATGGCTCCTGCAACATATCTGCCACCGTGGCAGTGGCAGCTTATAGACTGTGATGTTTCTTTTGTTGATGTCACAAAGCACGCACCACTTGTACACATACATACATACTTTTTAGAACTACAACATAAATACACATGCCCTGAGTTCTTTACTGATGCGTCAAAGTCAAACACTTCTGTGTCCTATGCAGTGGTAGGCCAATCCTTTTCCGAGGCCGGCGTTCTTCATCCTAATGCAAGCATCTTCACAGGAGAAGCTTACGCAATACTGGCGGTCGTAAAACACATTAAACAGATAAAATTACAAAAGGCGGTAATATACACAGATTCCCTAAGCGTGGTCAAAGCCCTGAAAACTCCCAAAAAACACAAGAACCCCGTGCTGGTGTCACTCTACTCACTTCTGTGCACACTCTACACATCAAAACAGCATGTCGTTGTCTGCTGGGTTCCAGGGCACCGTGAAATACAAGGGAACGTTTTGGCCGACAATCTGGCTGCTTGCGCCAATGTCACTACTGCCAATGCATCAACACCAGTCCCTGCACTTGACTTAAAACCTTTTATAAAACGAAAGCTCAGGGGGTATTGGCAGAGCATGTGAGATAAACACACAGATAATAAACTCCGTGCTATTAAGCCACAACTAGGTTATTGGCCGCCACTATCAAAATCACGACACACAGAAGTAATACTAACAAGGCTTAGAACAGGACACACACATTCTACACATTCATTTCTTCTGTTTACTGGTGATCCACCATATTGTGAGAGATGTGGAGAGCCCCTTACGGTTCTCCACATTCTCGTCCAGTGCAATGAGCTAGATGCTCTAAGAAAAAAGCACTTTTTACTGCCCTACCGACAGCAGCTCCCTCTACACCCTGGGATGCTCATCGGTAGGGATCCGCTTTTTAAACTGCAAACACTTTTTACGTTTTTAAAAGATGTGCAAAGCTTTCACCCGATATTTCGCGGTCATCCGTAGCACGACCTCGTGGCTGCGGTGACTACGTCTTCATCATGGTTTGATTATCATGACATTTTGCCATCAGCTATCACCACACATATGTCACGCCACTGTCATGATTTTATTACTTTCATGTTTTAACCCGCGTTAGAGCGAGGAATTTTAAGGCCCCTTTACAGCCACGTACCATATCATTGTTCATATCTGTAGTCAATTGAAATGGCGCTCTTTGGCCATCAATTGGCCCTTGCGCCACTAAAAGCTACTCATCATCATCATATCTCACCGGTGGTTCGCTGAGGGCGAGATTGGTCAATGCGGTAAAACACTAAAAAGTCGTCAACGTAGCGAACACTTTAACCGTGCTTGTCTGATGAAGGTTAGCCATGATGAGACTTGTCATACAGCGCGAGTAAGAGGTCACTAAAAACCGGAGCTAAACACGTGTCAATGCACACTCCTTTTCGCTGAGTGTAGAAGGTGTCCTTGTGAAGTACAAAGTTCGAATGTAGATAAAAGCGTAGTAGTTCCAAAAACCTGTGAACATAAATTCCACATGAATTCTAAAATTTGGTGCAGCCACAACACTCAATGCACTGGCTAACTTCATCGCACACAAGGTCTAGAGGTAAAGAATAAAATAAGTCCTTGACATCATCGGAGAAGGCGCTCACTCGCTTCAGGCACTCAGTTCGGAAGAAATCACTGATGGTGACTGGGCTCTTGATTCGACAGGGGTCATCAATGGGCAGGACTGCTAGAGACCTCTGAATGACTTGTCCTCCAATGTGTCTCCATGTAGTGTGGGAATGCTCTGCACCCAGGACTTGATAGCGCTACACTGTGTGAATGAGCGATGTGTAAAATTGTAAAATGAGGACATGTCATGAAAAATAGAAGGCTATGATTTACTCAGGTAACTTTTGCCTTTAATGCTGTTGTCTTCCTAAAGTTCTTAAAAATTTCAAGCATTTTTCGAGTGTATTTATATTTGTTTATTCACCAGTTGACATTTGCGTGAGATTTAACTCATTACTAAAAAAAAAAACAAAAAACATGATTCACTGCTTGTTCTTTCAGAAACTGTGTAGCATTGTTTGCGAGCTGCTGTTGGAAGAATGCAACATTCAACCCGTCTCCTCACCAGTCACTGTGTGTGGGGACATTCATGGACAGGTATGGCTAAAAGTTTATTACTCATGATTATATAGCAGTAGCCCTTATAAGTATTAAACTAACTTTATAATGCCTGCAGGTGGGGGGTTGGCCTGTTTTAGCTTTTATTAGTTACATAAGCATGAAGTACATAACACTTGTATACAGATGAAGGCCCCAGAGTATGAATACTGAAAATGAGACCCTCAGTTAAATAAACACTTCTACAAAATTGAATTGAAAACAATTGACAGAAGATTAGCAGGTGGTAATAATAATCTCGTACAAGGCAAAACAAGTAGCAACGTGCTAGAACAGTTGAAATAAAAAACGAAATAATATCATAAAGCGGAAGGCACAATCCAAAATATAATACAAAAAGCAATGCAATGCAAAATCAAATACGACACACAGAAGTAATACAGAATAAAAGTAGAAGCACAAAAAAAATGAAACTGAAAGAATCAAAATTTTACATGGGAAACAGAAATTAACACAAACTAAATGAGGACAAGTGGACAAAGCACTAAGTTGAGCAATCAGGACTTGAAAGGAAAGATTTTATTGATGTTTTTTGAAAAGTGAAAATGAGGGTAAAGATTTAAGTTTAACTGGCAAACTATTTCAAAGGTGAATGAGTAGTAGGAAGTAGTTATGATTATAAGTAAATCTGGGGGGGGTTAGTATTCTTGAAGGAGCTACATTCAATATATTCAAAGGAGAGCTGGGAATTAAGTAATTTATAAAATATTATACTTATGTTATACTGAAACTGCTCATTAAGCAGGCTAAAGGCATATGAATGCGAAGAACTCCACCTTATTGCCTAGGTTTTCTACTTTATGTCATGTTTATTTGTTGTTCTAGTTTTTGTTTTTAGTCTATAGGTCAGATCCAGATCATACCTGTGGATCACCCTTTTCAAAAAGAAAGACCACAAACATCTTAGTAACATAATAAAGCAGCAAATCATGAGTGTGCGCCCACCTTGGTAGCTCTGTGGTTGTGGCAAATATGGCCACAGTAGCCATATTCCAGTGGGGTGTCATGCGAAAATGCTTGTGTATTATGCAATGGGTCCACACTAAAAAATGTCAAGACTTGTAATCAGATTGGTATTTTGGATTGGATTGGCACATGTCAAAATACTAATCTGATTACATATAGATTTATATGTACTCCACTGTACATATAGATTTATTTGCGCTGGTAATATGCAATGCCTGATGATGAACTAATATTGTAGATCAGCACTCAACCTTTTTATATACCTTTTGCATTAGTGATACAGTTAATGAAGTGTGCACCCGTGTTGCATACAACAAATTCTTTAGCCCGAGTGCATTATTTGACGTGCGTACAACGCTGTAGATACTAAGCCCACCCAAATAAACTATGCATGTTCCAGCTACATATGTCCCATTGCATTAAGGGCACAGAGTAGGACAAAATTAGAGAAAATATTACTTTTTCTTTGTTGTTTTGTGCATATTTTCCACATTCGTGCTTTTTTTAACCATCTTTTTTGCAGCTCAAGAATAGTTTTTTTTCTAAAGCAAGTTGCGAGTAAAAACACAACCTAGGGCAAGCTTCTCGTATGGGCTGTGTGCTTACAATCTATTAAGATAAAGAAATACAGTACAAGAGATAAAATGCTTGTTTACAGTCGGCTATGCATAGGAAATTATCAGGTAACTTCTAAGGCAGCCTGAAGACACTGTGTGTCTTGATATTCACATGTTGTCTGTGGAGTGCATCAGTTTGAACACTTTCAGCTCATAGCTTGATGACACCTTGTGTTTTTCGTGCTTGTCTATAAGTTTAGATGATAAGTTGCTAAAGAAAGTCTTTGGCAAGTATAAATTTTGCGGCAACGTGTACACTTCTGTCGTAAATGTGAATAAATGTCAGTGATGTACAGAGGCGCTGAACGCGAAATCAGCAAGCTCGTCATATTGAACTTCTCAGCCTTTTCAGCATTCTTCGAGATGCACCATGTGCACAGTGACAACGGGCATGCTGTAAGGGACATGACTATTATTTGTGATGCAGTTAGACCAAACAGCTGTGCAAACTACCCCGGTGCCTGTGTTGAGTTCATGGGCGTCGCAGAATATTTCTGCTCTTTGTTTAGGTTCAGAGCATTAAGGATTGTGACATTGAATATTGTTCTTGCATTTAATGATGGTAGTATCACACAAACCAAAAGTTTGAAATAGTGCAGACTGAAGCCTGGCTAAACTACTGTCAATTTGCTGGAGAAATTGATCACACTCTACGATACAATGTGGATAGAACTGCACGACAGCTCACAAAAAAAGCAAGGCAAGCGTTATGAGAGGCTTCAAAGGGAAAAATTGAGTTAGGCGATGATCACCAAGTTTGTAGCTACCAAATAAAATAGTTGAATCATGCTTGTGAGAAACTGTATTCGCTTTTAAGCTGTTTTTTATCTTTAACCTTGATTATGTCACGTTTGTTATTACCTAAATACCATTATTTTCTATTTATTCCATTATAATTAGTTGATTATTTTTTCTTTTGTTTTGCATAAATGCACACAGTTACTGAAGCAGAATTAAAATTATGCACAGTACAGTTTTTGGGTTACAAATTTGCTTCTATACCAATTAACTTAAAATTTAGGTCCTAGTGGTAAAAAATTCACAAAAATATAATATTATGCAGGCTTTCATAAATTTGCTTCATTTTAAAGAGGGAAAATTTCGAAGGAAATGATGTGTGGATTATGCGAATATTCTATTTAGTAACTGCGAAAAACGGCACCTCAAAGCGACCAAAAATGCGTGGGATGTATAGGGCCTACCCGGTGCCCTTAATGCATATTGGGCAATGTTTATAGATATCTTTTCAGTTTTGGAACTCTCCGCTTCGCCTACGGGGAGCAGGCGGCCAGCTGCAATTCCTGCCACCACGGCGCTGCAGTCGAACTTTGTGCCAAGCAAATGAGAGTCGTCTGCTACAGCTAGGCGCGGGGTAGCCGGTGTGCAGCATTCACATAATGATTTTATTTTACAAGCCCTGCACCGCAACTTCTTGTTTTAGGCACGAGGAGTATAACGTCGGGTCTATATGCGTGTGCGGCGTCTTTCTGAGTGCTCGGTAAAAATAATAGCCCGTGTAAACGTGCTGCTTGGTGAGCATTTCTTGATTAGGGAGCCGTTTTGTCGCCCTGTAACTTCTTGTTCTTCCAGGTAGAGGGAGCGAAATTTGGAGCTTAATTGTATTCACTAAGTCTCAAGGAAGCCTCGGTAAAAACTTTGTCTCATCTGGTTCCAGCTTAGTTGTTTAGAAGCTGTTGTCGTTTAGAACTTGAAACTGAGCTTTTGCTAAAAGGTATTAGCCACATTTAAGATCCCACTGAAATGATGCTATTTCTCTGTTCAGCTGATATAAACCAGTGCACTTTCTTCGTCTGAAGTATTCAGATTTCTGGGTGTATGGCAGTGCATAATACTTAGGATCATTCAATGGAAAAATGCAAATTTTGTGAAAATAGGAAGATATCAGTGGCATTGACACTAGAACATTGCCACGATCACACATTAGTTCATGAGTATATTGCACTTAACCTATGAAAAGGAAAATTTAGCTAATGCACACTTGTCACGAGCATTAGAATTTCAGGCAAGTTCCAATAAAATCCCGCTTCTGAGCAGCAAACAAAGCATGAGCTCATCTGCTGTGTACGCATTCGGTGACTATACTTCTTGTTGCATGATGAATGTACTGTGAATGGGCACTTTCTGCATTTCAGGTAAATCGTGAACTAGATCATTCAGAGTCACTGGGAATGCAGTCTTCAATTTTTCACTGAGCCAGCGTATCTCAAGCTTTGTTCTCGTCGGCGTTGGCACAGATCAAGCGTTTCCTTAATTCGCTGGTTGCAATCTGCACCTTGTTCTTGGTTGTTTTTGCTGTTTTTTTTCATTTTTGTTAAAATTACACAAGACACACATACCTCTGTCAGCACCAGTCCTGCCCATACAGTCTTTGTGATGAATACTGCTTAGTGACGCACTTTCTCCTTTCGCTGTGCGTACAGGTGGACAGCCGAGCCAAGGCTGCAAAGGGCACAACATACACGACTGCCTTTACATCATTGAGTAACTGCGCTGGTACATTGAAAAGTAACTTTTTTAGGAATTTTTTATTCGCCAAAACCATGTAGGTCAAATTCTCGTAAATGGCAGTGCTCTTGAGGATGCAGTAGATGTATTCTTTGAGTTTTGCATGATAGAAGACTATTACCAGAGGTTTTTCCGCAAACTCGGGGAAGCGAAGCACATTTTTTCCCAATCGTTCAGGAAAACTGGAGTCCTCTGAAGTAGCGGGTACCTGTTGCTGGGATTCTTCTGACATATCGCGTGGCAGCAAGAGTTGGTTGTGGTACAGGTACCTTTTCGTTTGCGGCTTCATGACAAGTACACTGGTAGGTTCGTGAATAAACAAAGAACTGTAGCACTCATCAATGCCCATGCACTATCGTAAATTTCGACTGACTTCTCTGTTTATGATGTGCTTATATGTCTTCAAGGTGTCGCTTTCTTGAAAGTGAACATTGTTCACCTTGTGCGTCTTTACCAAACTTTTGTTCATGCCTGGAATGGATCTTTCCCCTTTCTACAGTAACAGTGGTTTAGATGGCAGAGAGATGTAGTCTTTCTCGGGGCTTTTCCTGTAATTGCTGGTGCGTCCGGGCACAAAACACATCGCTATGATGCCCGGAAGGTCTGTGCTATGGAGCAGGGGATAGCAGCAACAGTAGAATTAACCTCGGGAGACGTACACGCGTGCTCAGTGCATCCACACGTGGTCATTGCTTAGATCGTGCCCGCGATGTCAACGACCGGAGAGTTTTCTACGTCGTAGATGTCCGAGTGTGTTCGTGACTGTAGGCATTGAATTGTATCCAGAAAACCGTGAAAGCTTGTGATGTGTACAGAAAGTGACGAGACATACACAGAAAAAAAAAAGGGCCATCGAACACCATCACGGAACGCACGAAACTGCAGCAGTAGTGAAGCCAGCGGACAGGAGCCAGTTAGGTGGCGCCGAGTTAGACTGCAGCGCCTCAAGGTGCAAATCGTGCCCGCCTCGAAAGGAGGAGTTCAGAAACTGAAAAAGTATCTATAAACGTTGTATTTGGGGCGCTTGGCTATTGCTGCATGAAGTTTACATATAGTTCAAATGTTCTTCTGATATTCATTTTTTAGTATATTTTAGAGAGATCTAAAATAACATACCATGCATGAGATTAAATGAATATCTTGTGCAAGATTTGTATTTTCTTAATACATTTTTCTATTAATGTTTACGTAAATAAAACCAACACAGATTATCCCATAACCCAAGTCAAATTTATAGTCTAGAATAAGCAGTTCTTAGTATGTACAGTTGTATAACAATGAGCTATGTGGAGTTTTTTTGGCCTTCTTGGAATATTTCTTTAGTACAGAAATTCAAACAGTGGTTCACACCCACAACTAATTTTGAGGATCAGCATTTTATGCAACAATGGAATGTTTGGTGGCAGTATTTAAACCCAAAAGAGTTAATTAGTTCACACAGTTACTTCACCTACCATGTTTGCTCAGTTAATATGGCACTGCACTGCTACGTTGCACTGCTAACCTCATTTATCTGATACGTAGTGTATTTTCAGAAATACCTGGTGAAATAATAAATACTGTGTATTTAGTATTTCACCAGGTAAATACTGTGTATTTAGTATTTTAGAAATACTAATTCTGCTTGATATACCAAGCACAGATATTGTATCAATATTATACAGCATTTATTATTGCTTGAAAGGGAATATGGAATATTGGATGTGGCAAAAGTGTCTGATATTTACAAATTATATATTTGTCTATGTAGGGTTTCTTTTGAGGGTCAAAAACATGCATGTAGGTTATCCGCTAACAGCCACAAGACGGTGAAAGACAGACAGGTGCTATCAGCATCACATGAAATGCAAACAGCGGCAAGCCTTCACCATTATGTAGTGTGCACCGTCTAGTTATCATAGTTGACAGGCGCACGTGTTCTGTTCAGCGCTTCTGCGCATATATGCGTGCCTATCCATGCTGATAAATGGACAGGGCACACTATACCATCAAGAAGGCTTGCCAGTGTTTGATTTCATTTGACGCAGATAGTATATCATTGCATGTATGTTTAAAATGCACCTGTTTTGATCATTTCTCTTGCTTGGCATGTGCTTGCCACACTGAGTGAATACGTGGACTTTTTTTCTTACACCGATGTCTCTCCGTTTTTTTTAATATTTTCTATATTTTACTGCAGTTGTGTACTGGCTAGTTTTTTTTTTTGGTTTGCAGCCCGTTGCATGTATGTTTAAAATGCACCTGTTTTGATCATTTCTCTTGCTTGGCATGTGCTTGCCACACTGAGTGAATACGTGGACTTTTTTTCTTACACCGATGTCTCTCCGTTTTTTTTAATATTTTCTATATTTTACTGCAGTTGTGTACTGGCTAGTTTTTTTTTTTTGGTTTGCAGCCCGTTCTCATTTGTTGCTCGCAAATCTAATGACTGTTTGATTGGTTTAGAATCTTTTTGAAGGTGACCAATTTGTTACTCTCGTTTATTGCTTCTCAGTATGTGATTACAGCTGTTTCTTTGCAGGCACTCTGCTTCACTGGCGATAAGACAAATGATTATTATAAGTTTCAGACTTGTTTTCACTCTCTGGACGCACTCCCAACTACACGTTTTTTTCAGTGCACTCACCCGCGCAGTTTCCTTGCACTGTGGAAGTGTGCACCGATTTCTGCGCCGCAAGTGATTGTAGCAGTGATTCCTCCGAAGTGCCGTTTGACTGCTGAATCAGAATCTGATTCGGTAAATGTCAGACCGTCATACCAGGAGTTACCCAAGAGTTAAGACTCTAATCTTGATGAGGGAATCACGTCTCCAAAGCATGCACGACGAGATGATGCTCAGTGGATCAAAAGTGGCTTTTCTCTCTCTGTGTTTCCACTTAACGCCACTTCGCACCTTATTTTTCTATGTCTGGGAACTATACTGACGTTTATTTAAATGTATTACTTTTTAACTGTTTTATAGCATTTTTAAAAGAATTCGTCTTGCTATTGTGAATAGATTATGTGTATGTAACAATACAATCTTTTTTGTCACTTTACAACCATCTAAAAAAATTGAGAAAATTTTTTTAAGTATTGATTCATCTGAAGAATTTATTCGGCAATGAAAAAATGCACATTTTGGGGATGCATTTTGTAAAAAAAATGACCTTGAAAGGGATCAGTTGCTTTAATGCACTTGTACAGCTTCTGCAGTAGTTCACATTGTGCTTTACCACAGCTTCCAACTCTGTCATACAAAAGAGCCATGCACTTCACTTATAAAATATGGTTTGGGTGGAGGTGAACTGGGGGCACTATACAGGTAAACTCGACTCCTGCTGCATTCTATGTAGTAAAGCTGATTGGCACATCTTGCTGATGTTTGCCACTGTGATGGTTGCCGACGTAGCTGGAATTTCCAGAGAACGCAGAAGTGCTTCCTGCACACTTTGCTAATGGTTCTTTGTGCCCTGAGCTATTTCTGGCAAACATCGTTGTGGTCACTGATCAGTGGTGCATTTTCTAACACCTATTAAATCGACTTTATTATTTGCATTGCCATAATTATCAAGCGTAGTTTGTGGCTCAGCATTGTGTAACTTTTTAAGAATATGCTGAAAACGTGTTTTGGAAACTTGTACTAAAGTGAGCTGGCCAAAATCCAAAAAATGTCTTAGAACACTCGAACAGTTCGTTCAAGTAGATGTCATGGTGTTTGCCTCAACACTGTATTGAAGCGTGTGCAACATCTTTTACTGGCAACTTGGGCGCCACTCGAAATTTTGAGCATGGTGCTCATAACCATGCATCAACTGAAGGAGTGTTGATCTGTCATGGTAGCTTAGCGGTTGAGGTGCTGTGCTGCTGAGCACAAGGGTGTGGGTTCGATGTGTGGACAACACAGCTTCATTTTAATGTAAGATTATTGTAAAATGCTTGTTATTAGGTCTAAGTACACTTTAAAGAAACCTAGATGGTCAGTATTAATTCGGAGTCTCCCACTTGGGCGTATCATGATTTAGTCATCTCAAACTACTAAATTTTATTTAAAAAAACATTGTTGAATTGCGCTGGTAGAACAATGCAAAATGATCTTATTCCTTTTATATATTTTTAATTGTGGTCTTGTATACTGCATGCCTACATATATTTACTTGTGTATTTTCAGTTTTATGACCTTGAAGAATTGTTCCGAACTGGGGGACCAATTCCCGATACGAGCTACATATTCATGGTAAGAGTTTTTTTTTTTTTTTCATTCCTTAGATATTTTTTCATTTGTTTGGGCATTAGCTGGCAGGTATGTGTCTTTATAGCACATACGTGCTGCTAATGTTTGTTATGTTGGTTTAAGTGTTGTTTCTTTTTACTAGGGTGACTTCGTAGACCGAGGGTACTACAGCTTGGAAACATTCACTCGTCTCCTGACCCTGAAGGCCAAGTGAGTTTTGGCATTGTTTTCTTTACTGCAGTGAATTGATTTATGGGACTATTGGGGTCATTCTGATATGTGAAGAGTTTGCTGATTGCACGGGGGAAACAGCTGCACCATTGTGCGCCAAATTTGTTTACGTAAGCCATCCTGCGCCGAACCACCCTGTTGCGCCAAACTAGATTATCAGCGCTGCACAGTGCTGCAGCATGTGAAGTTAGCCTCAGATGTGACAGCTATCAAGTCCTGGGCCCAAAAATGTGGCTCAAACATTGTTTTTCGTTTCATCAAAACAAAGCGTTGATAGTTTCAGTTCGACAAAAGTGGTGATCGTTCGAACAGCAGTTGTGAACTTTGCCCCTATTGGTGGGATTGCTGGCATGCATGCTATCTTGACAGGCATCAGCGCCATGGCTCGGAAACCCTTCTATGTGCTGGTCTCTCAATGTAAAGAGACTATGCTAACAGAGCATCTCTTCCTGGCGCGGCCATATTCTCTTACATCAGTGTTTTGTATTTACACGATATCGGATCTAAATGAGTTATTTGCCAGCCTTACTTTGAACAATGATTCAATTTGTTGCTGTTGCATTAATTGCTTCATCTTTGCGGTGAAAAATTTTAATTTTATAACATGAAAATCTAGCTCAGAAAATGAAAAAGGGTGAATGTAGCGGGGCTGAAAAGAAGGGTGGTGCTGTCTGGTACCCAGCACAGCCTAACAATTAAAGACAGGTGCACAGAACTGCTTATCGAGCACACGCAGGCGTATTCTCGTTCATTTGGCCACATTACTCCTTTATACGGCGCTTATCGACACAGCGGACGACGCTCACGCGTTTAGGTTCGAAAATAGTGGCCAGATGCACATAGCTAAAGAAAGTTCATTTCACCGCAATAACAAAGCCATAAAGCAACAACAAAACCATGAATAAAGCAACGAAGCCATAAAAAAAAAAGGCCACTAACTCTTTTAGGTCCAATATCAGGTAACTCTTCAAAACACAGGTGTAAAAGAAAATACGGCCGCTTCAGGGAGAGCAACAGATTTCGCACATTCATTTACGATGACAGCGCAGTAGTTAAAAGTCTATACAAGCCACCTAATGATGATGCTGAGCTAGCACTGTCGCCAGCCATCGCGACTGCACCCTTCGAAGCAAAGTTGTAGTTGCTGCTCAAGCGACACCCCCCTTGCTATTTTTCATGCTCGTTCAAGACAGGCAGGGTGTCTCCTCTCTGGATTGAGATGGCAGGCCTCCCGAGGAGTGATATTATCACATGCGCCCTTCGAGCAACGGAGATGGGCCGGTTCATTTGATCTCAAGCTTCAGCTGTATTTGCAAGCGCTTTTGCCTGCGTGTAGAACATACGATGGGTCGATGGATGTTGTCAACTTGTGCTTTATACAGGATATGAGGGTGCCGGCAATGGCAAAAGCTCGTTGAAAGTGTTCATATAATTGCTGTTGTGCTGTAATAATGATGTTGCACAATTAAGCTTAGTGTTTGAAAAATGCAACATTGGACATATGTTGCATCACAAGTGCTATGAAACGGGGCTACATCTGCTCTGAACACTCTCTCCGACTGCCCCAAAATTGCTCAGAGGTTTAGAAGCACTGAACTCGGGTGAGTTTGTACTTGAACATAGTGGTAATAAGAGCAAGTAAGTAGACAAGAAACGAAAGACAGAATTACACAAACAAGCGCTTCTTTCTTGTTTATCGTGTTTCTCATTTCTTGTCTGCTTAGGCACTTTTATTAGCACTATGCTCAAAGAGACCTTACTGGCTGCTCTCAGGACTGCTCCCAAACCAATGTACCCTGTTCTAGAGCACTGCACAAGCCGGGTAAGGGCTTGTTGAATCGGGCCTAAGCCGGGCCCGGGCCTGCGCCATGCCCAAATCGGGCTTGGGCCTCATACGTATCGGTATAACGACGTGGGTACGCTGTTTTACTTTGGTTTGTAGGGTTTAACGTAGTGACCTGACACTATTTGAAACCCTTCATATGAGGGCTTCGGGTTAATATTGTTACGAGTAACTTGTTTAATGAGCTATTTACAGCGCAGAGAACCCGACGAGCAAGATGGCGTCAGACCAGCATCCAACGGAAAAACCCACTTCGTCCTCCCATTTCTTGCAGCCGTGTTTTAGCGGCTGTTTGTATCAAACCCCCGGCGGTAGAAGCACCGCTCGGTGCTAAATTTACGCAGATGTCGAGGGGGGTAATAGGG